GGCATTCCAACAACTCAAAGATACTATACTAAAAGCACCTGTGTTGAGGTTGCCAGATTTCTCAGAACCATTCATTGTTGAGACTGATGCAAGTGATCTGGGTATGGGAGCTGTTCTAATGCAAGGGGAACAACCTATTTCATTCATCAATAAGGCATTTTATGCAGCAAATAAAGGATTGTCAGTGTATAAAAAGGAGCTAATAGCACTAGTATTGGCAGTCACCAAGTGGAGACATTATTTGTTGGGCAACCATTTTATCATCAAAACGGATCACAAATCCTTGAAGTATTTGCTGGAACAAAAAACCATCAACACTACACAACTCAGATGGCTCACTAAGTTGTTTGGCTATGACTATGAAATACAGTATAAAAAGGGAGCAGAAAACAATGCAGCTGATGCATTATCAAGAAGGGAGCAACTATGCATTTCTGTTGATCAATCTCAATCAGTTGATATGGGAGAATTGTAGGCTAGATCTTCTATCTAACCCCTTTGGATGCAGGAAATCATTGACAGTTAGAGTCATGATCAGGTGGTCCAAGATGTCATTGTCACCATTGCTGTTAACCCTGATGTAACTTCCAAATTCCAGTATATTCAAGGTTTACTCAGGAAGAAAGGAAGAGTGTATGTTGGGAATAAGGGTGATCTGAAAAGCAAGCTGTTGGAAGCCTTCTATTCTTCAACTCTAGGAGAACATTCTGGCCAATCAATGACACTACAAAGGCTGAAATTAGTATTCTTTTGGCCTCAAATGAAGAAGAATGTTGAAGAATACATTTCTAGTTGTGAAGTTTGTCAAAGGAACAAGGCTGAGCATGTGAAGTATCCAGGGTTACTGCAACAAAACCCTATTCCTCAGCATGTATGGAAGAGCATTTCTATGAATTTCATAGTCAAGCTACCTCCTTCTAATCAGTTCAACATCATCTTAGTGGTTGTGGACAGACTCACCAAGTTTGGACATTTTATAGCCCTTGAAAAACCAACCACTGCTGTCAAAGTTGCTGAAGTCTTCTTCAAGTAGATTTTTCGTCTATATGGCATACCTGATGACATCATTACTGATAGGGATCCCATCTTCCTCAGTCATTTCTTGCAGGCCATCTTCAAGATGTTGGGGGTTGAACTCAAATTGAGTACAACTTATCATCCGTAAATGACAGACAGAGTGAGTTAATCAATGCTTGCAGTGAAAAACCATCTACTTGGAGTCAGTGGTTGTCATTAACTGAGTGGTGGTACAAAAGCTCTTATCACTCCAGTATTAGAATGTCTCCCTTTGAAGCATTACATGGTGAGAAGCCTTGTATATTTCCACTGGGGGATTTCTCCAACAGTGTCATTCCAGCTGCTTCTTTAGATGTTCAACAAAGAGCTTCTATTCTCAGATCATTAAAGGACCACCTGTTAAAAGCTCATGAACGCATGAAACATTTTGCAGACCAGATCGTTCTGATAGGCAGTTTGCAGTTGGAGATTGGGTGTACCTCAAGCTGCAACCCTATAAATAGTCCACATTGGCAGTCATATCTTATTTGAAGCTCTTGTGAAGATGTTATGGTCCATTTGAAGTACTCCAGAAGGTTGGTGAAGTCGCCTATAAGCTCGAGCTCCCTGATTCTACTAGAGTTTATCCCGTTTTCCACGTTTCTCTACTGAAGAAGCATGTTGGGAACCGGCCTCTCACTACCACACCCCTTCCTGATTTCTCACTTGTGGAGGAAATCACTCTTTGTCCTGAACAAGTACTTCAAAGGCGATTCATTCTGAGAAACGGGTCGCAAGTTCCTCAATGGTTGATCAAATGGAGGTCATTTGAAGTTGAAGACGCCTCCTGGGAAGACTGTAGTTTCATTTGTAGCTAATTTCCAACTTTCAAACCTTGAGGACAAGGTTTATTTGAGCAGGAGGGATTGTCATGAATAATGGGGCGAATTGTTAGTTTTGTAAAATACAGGATTTGATATCAATTTGCGTTATTGCACAATAAGGGCTTGTTGACCCAGCCGCCTTTTTTCTGTCGATTTGTACAATCCCAATAGATTTGGGTATTAATATGAGTTGTAATGATTGGGATTATTCATTAATGAGAAATTCCCAGATTCTTTCCCAAATTACTATTTCCTAATTCCTCTAGAATATTCTCTCTTTCTTCCAAATTCTATCTCTACCAAGTCTGAACTCTGAACTCTGGTGGTTGTTCTTCACACTCCAGCCACCCACCTCCGACCAATTTCCGGTTGGAAACCTTTATATCTGACAGATTTCATTCCGTCGAGTGGCCCGGGTTCAGGGTTCAGTCTGATTAGTGGAAACCGGCCCAAACTTTTCTTTAATGTTTAATGTAGTTATTAGTTTAGATTTTCTTTAAGGAGTATTTCAAATTTAGTACTTACACCACGATATATAGAACTTACATAAGTACTTTAACCACTTCATACTAAACTATATTTCAATTAATGAAAGGTTTGGTAGTTGTCAAAAAAAAAAATAGTACTTTATTCCTATAATATTCATTACAAGCCAAAAATTTGATTGGTATGATTTTCTTGACCTCACTTAATTTCTTATTCTCTTTGTTTTAAAATATTTGTCTTTTTGGATTTTTATATTTAGCATAATTTGAATTAAAATATAAAAATTAAATTAGACAATTATCCCGAGACGAAAAAAGTGTATCATTTACTTAATTATTTCCATTTCAACTAAACTAAAGCTACCATGTCTTATCTACGAAATGTTCTAATTTCTTGTAACTAGACTTGACCTCTCTTATTGTACCCAAAAAAAGCCGCCATAAAGGTGCAGTTTTAAACATTTAACTAAGATATATAGTTATAGTTTATGTTCATCCACATCACTCAATGTAAGTTTTAAATGTTTTAGGAATTCAAAAAATAATTTTTCATTTGACTTCATTGACATTTATACCGATCACCTTTGTATATTAAAAAGTCAATTAAGTTATAAGTATTCATTCAATCAAAAAAGGTCAAAAAAAAAAGAAAAGAGCATTCATTACATCATTTGTGATGGTCTTCCACTTCTGACTCATGTGAGAGCTTTTAAAGTTTTTTCACTAAGTAATATTCTTTTTGTTTAGATCGACATATAAACTTTTATTTAACTTTAAATATATCGTTTGATTTTTCCACTATAAGAAAATGGGTTTAGGGGTTTTAGTCTCTATTAATTAGAGCTAGTACTTTCAAAACCTTTCTTGGTTTTAAGTGACTCCTTTAATAACTTATTGATTCCATAGAACGTTTTTTGTTTTAATGAGGATATTTACACGTCTGATGTCTCTTTAGTTTTCCAAGAGGTGGAGTAGTTGAGGTGTTAAAAATGGAGGATCCGATGTAAATAGGAGTCCCTGGCCATTTTGTGGGTTGAGGAATCTTGATGAGTAATGTCGAGGTGACATATTGACGACGTCCATGAATTGTACTTAAAAACATCTTTTGTCCCGTAACTCTATCTCCCTTTATATAATTGTTTTTTATTTTTTATGAGATTGTTATTGTGGGGAATCGTACGGAGGCAATGGTTCAAAGTTAGTTTGGAGTAACTTTTTTTCTTCCTGAAAATACAAGAGGGCTAACATTACATTAATTTTTCTGCATGTCCCACGACATTCACTATTGGCATCCTGGAATAATTTATAAGTATCATAATAAGTGAGACTTATTAGCGAAACAAATTGCTATTATTCTATATCCATAATAGTTTTTGAATTAAAGGTACACTGCATTGTTTTGATGTGGGTTCTTTAATTAGCACCCTTATTTTCTGTAAGGATGAAACTATGTTAATAATCATTGGCTCCGAAAACTCTACGCTTTAGTCTCAACGTTTAGGTATTTGATAAAAATTAATCATCTTGACGAGAAAATCGTTTTCCTGCACATAAGTAAAAAATGATACTTTAGAGGGGAAAAAGGGCTCAACATGTAATGAAAAGGACTAAATGTAATAGTTAAATAATCGAAATGGTTGGAACAATTAAAAACACGCGATAATTTGGTAATATTATTGGATTTCTCCAAAAGTTAGACCAAAAAAGTTGGTATCCATTATTGCTAGTTAATCTGCTGTAAGAGGAGAGAAGTTTCTCTTATCATGAATATCTCTCTGTTTTTCTGTATATTCCCTCCGTCCCAAAATTATTATCCAATTACCATAAAAAACTTGTCCTAAAATTATTGTCCAATTTGACTTTTTAAGAGTTAAAACACGCTTTTACCCTTGATTAAGAAACATACCCCGTTTTCTCCATAGACGGCTTTAAGCGGCGGCGTGAGGCGGCCAGGTGGTGGCCAGGTGGTTGAGCATGCCAAAATTCGATCCCATAAATTTTGGGTTTGAAGGTTCTTGATCTGTCTTGATGCCAGAACGATTTCTATCCTTGTTCATCACAGTGAGTCAAAGCTCATCCTTGTCGATTACCAATCAACTTCTTTGGTTAATGAAGCATTGTCGTTATTTTCGCCGAATTCTAGATTGACCCTAAAATTATGTTGAGCACTCGGATTGTAGCTTCTTCTTTGGTATTGGCTGGTCCGTCGCCGTGGATAGCCTACAATGATTTGCACATTAACCCTTCCTGTTTTTCTCCGACGATGGCCAGGTTTATTGCCGCCGAAAATGAAGTTATGCCCTTTGATGATGATACGCAAATTGAAAGCAGAGTGCCAGAGTCCGATCAATATAAAGTCTTCCGCAGGGAAAATCAGTTGTGTAGGGGTATCTTTGGAAGTTTATGTGAAAATTTTGTTTAGTTTGACCAAAAATAAAATCTTGTATCATACGAAAACTGGACAATAATTTTGTGACAGATGGAGTATTATTTTTTAAATATCCGAAATCATTATTCGGACTAATTCGAATTTGAGTCACGTAGACGTAGGCAGGTCAACCTCGGGAAGCTAAACTCTCTATTCAATCAGCTATAAATTCAGGTGGTATCAATCCTTAATTCTTCCCATCACAACAATACAATCCTCACTCGCCATCCTAGTTAATCATGAGGAATTTCAACATGCCTACCCTCGCCATTTCAATCTTTCTTCTTTTGCCCATTAATTTCTTCACACAAATCGAAGTGGCATTTGCTGCTGCATTTCCCCCCTCAGTTGCTTACTTTCAAACTGACTTTTGGTCAAAAAATGTCATCAACCCCATGCCTGAAACAATCAAATCAAAACTATCTCCATTATCCTCCCCAGATTATGCTATTAATTCCACAATAACTTCAACAAACCAAGAATCCTTCAACATGAACGGATTTTGCTCCAAAGCTAATCTGGCTTGCACCCCATTATCAAAAACCAGTTTAAGGATGATTAAGGCTACCATAAATGGGTATTTAGGTTCCCCAACCAGCAATACGAATTCACATGATGATGAATCAGTCGACCCCAACTTCTTCTTTAGGCTCTCATCAGTTTTCCAAGAAGGGAAACAAATCCAACTACCCAGCTTTGATAAAGCAAGTCTTCCTCCTCGCTCGTTTCTTCCATCCCATTATGCATCCAAAATATCTATCACTAGTTCAAGTGATCTCCAGAAAATTTTCCCTGATTTATTCGCTTCCAACCCAATGAAGGAAACCATTGAAAGGAGTATTTCATTTTGTACTTCTCCATCTCGAGCAGGAGAGATTAAGACATGCTCAAATTCCCTCGAGGACATGATACAATTTTCCAAGCAAACATTGGGCAGGAGCAGCGGAAAACTACTTGCTTTGACTTCGAAAAGCGAAAAAGGTTCAGGAAAAGAGCTTGAAATTGGAAAAATCAAACGACTCCATACTCAAAAAATGGTGTCTTGTCATGAAGTTTTCTATCCATTTGCCACTTACTTTTGCCATTTTCTCCCATCATCCACAACTCGCCTCTACGCGGTCGATTTTGTCGATCCCGGAACAAAAGCTCAGGTTAACACCATCCTAGCGCTATGTCATATGGATACATCAGCATGGCCTGCTGAAAACATGGCTTTGAAGGTATTGAAATTATCTCCGGGTAAAGGCGAAGCATGTCACTGGTACGGAAAAGATGATCTGGTCTGGATCTAGGTTTGGAAGCTGATTTTCCAACCTAATTACTATTAGGTGCTGTATCATGCATGCCATGAATTATGTACTTTTGATTTCTTATCAGTTTCGTTGTCTGTTGTTGTCCTGTGAGTGTTGACCTTTTCAATGTTTCCAAGTTGAGTCAATGTAAAATAAATAATGTATTCTCATTTTCATGTGAAAGAAATGATTGGATTGTGGATTTTCAATTTGCTTGGAGTTGTTAGGGATGAAGGTTCATATATTCACATAAAATGTTCATCATTCAAATATTGCTTTGAGTTAACTTCGACTCCAAACGTACGACTCCACGGCTTAAGATGCAATGCACACTTAATTAACTCCGCCGAGAGTTTTTTCTTGGCGCAGATTTAGTTTGACTAAGAATCTCATACACTATTACCTTCAACATTTCTTCAACTATTATATAAAATGTTTCACTTTTTACTTAAATATTATTTTAAGTTTTTAAAATTTTACTAACACCCAAACCACCACTGAATATATCCGGACCATGTGTCAAAGTATTGGTAATGATATGAATAGTGTAGAATTATGGTGCAGAAGATATATTGTCACAACTTTATGCTTACTTCATTAGTTGGGGATTAATGCAATCAGAAGATAGCTATTACTACGTGCATTTCGTGGAAGCCAACAAATCAATGATGCACACCATCTTTCTTTTGCAGCTTCGTACCCTCAATTTAGGGTTAATTCGTGTTACTGTATTTGCGACCTTTGAGTAGCTATTATTCAGTCAGCGATGGAAGGAAATCAAGATAATATTTTGCATTTTTATCGTATCGCTACCTTTGTATTCCTACATCTTTGAGAAAGCATTAACTAAAAGTACGTATATTTATCCATTCATTTCAGTTACCAAACGGCAAGTGTGCACGACAACATACTTAATATATTCTCAGTTTCGTTGGGATGTAAAGGATAAAATTATTAGTAGTCTTGCTGCGCAAATGAACATACCAGAAACTCTAGACCTTTTAATAGATACAAATGGTTGAATTCAAATACTTCGATTTCTTTGCTTCCTTAGAAACCAAGTGCTTCATGTTTTGCTGATTTTCTGCTTGGTGACTTGGATCACTTTTGCCAATAACTTCAAATTGCCAATTGATTTTTGAGTAAATCTACAGGAATCAGTGTCGAAGACCTGCAATGGTTGAGGTTCAGAAATGCCATTTTCAGGCAAAGTACTACCTCATTTTCTTTATTTGTGACAATAGAGTCTGCAACACATATTAAAGAAATAATGATTGAGACGTTAATTTTTTAGTATAATATCTTTCTCACCCCTAATTACTTCATGTTGTTGGGCTAATGCCTGTTCTATCTCCTGGGCCTTTGTGAGGGCCGCAACTTTGCCCTTGTTGGTTGACTTTTTTGGAACCCACGTAGACGTATCCCTAATCTCATTTTTCCTCTTACCACCAACCGACCCTTTTTTAGAGTCCAAACCCTTAGTAGTAACAGCTCCCACAACGAAATTCTTGGGCCCCGTCGCGATCCTGTGCTCCTCAAACTCATTGAGGCCCGCTTTTTCAGACCTACCCGCATCTTCACTAGAATCAACTAAGGGCGAGAAAGAGTTGTTGAAGAAGGAAACCGCTTTAGCTCCTGACAATGTTCTCCTGCGATTCAATCATTGAGATTATACCAAAATTTAATATTGAAGTAAAAAAAATAGTAATTGTATTCAATATATGTTATTATAAGTATAGAGAAATAATGGTGAAATTTAAAAAACTTTATTTAATGTTGTATTGAAAATGAAATGCGAGAGATTAAAAAAATAGAGGTAATAATACCAAGATTATCTAACGAATCTATTTAATTTAATTTTTTTGCAATTCCTTTTTTTTTATGAAATAGCCACAACTTCTTAATACACTCATAAACACAACAAAAAAAATTAGAAGTTGAGACACTTCTTTGTATCTCAATAAGTGGTGTAATAGGCACATGTGACTTAAATTGTGTGAAACACTACTAAATAATGTCTACTATAATTGAGCTAGAATAAGTCATAAGACATTTGAAAGTGAATTATTAAATTATCATCTAACAAAACACTTTAAACTGACCCATTAAGTAAAGTATAAGTTCATAAACAACCCAAATAGTACATTTAAAATAGTACTCCCTTTGTCCCATAATTATTGTCCAGTTTTACTAAAATGAAAGATTTTATTTTTGGTCAAACTTAACTATATTTTACCTTAAACAACCGGATATACCCCTACATAAGTAATTGTTTAACCCCTACATAATATTTTATGGATAATGTTTTTTACAAAGGACAAATGTGTAACTTGATCCATAAAAAGTCAAATTGGACAAAGTGGACAATAATTATGGGAATGAGGGAGTATTTCATAATATGATCAGACTTTTTATTTTTCAATAAGACACTTTTATAACAAATGTCCTAACATACAAATAATGAGACATATTTTAAGAAAGTTGTCCAATCATAAAGGTATTAATAGCCATCCCTTTTACCCTATTAAAGCAGAAAACAGGATGCTGATGTGGCAATTTTTTATTAAAATATTTTGGCTCCAAATACACCATATTGCATAAATCATTTTGCCACGTGTCACATCCTTTTAAAAATAAAAGATATATTTACAATATTAACGAAGAGATCAGATGGCCATGTTCATTCAAATTTTGAATTTGACAGTGTATGGAATTTTCCTTCTCCATTTATTTAGGACTTTTGAAAAAATTAATTTTCGGTCAATCAATTATTTTCATTAAAAACTAAATTTATTCCTAATCAGTTTTGATTATTTACATATCAATTTATTAAATAGGACGCCCCGGACATATTTGTATGGGGCAAGCATCTAGTTATCTGTTGTAGTGAAATCCTCGCCTATTCTAAACTGAATTCATTCCTAAACGACTTAATGCCTTATTAATAAATGAGGATAACTTTTCCTGTAATTATTTAGCTTTGCAACAGGTAGAAGCGGCCAAAGGTGAAGACAAAAAGATTTCGGTGATAGATAAGACAATCGACCATCCGCGCGCCATGATAAGGCATCAAGTCGTTACAATGCATAAATTATTCGGTGGTTTTAATATGTGTGGTTATACTTTACTTTATTGCTAAAGTATTTGTTAGAAACCACGATTTTTTGTCTTTCTCTCTAATTTAGTTAAATAATTTCTTTGTCCTCATTACTAGCAATCAAAGCCGCCATCAATCAATTGGGATGTGATCGTCGAATGGTTGATATTCTTCCAATTTTGATTAGAGGTTGGAGATTCGACACATATTGGTTATAAGCAATTTAAATTTTTTTCTCAAATGTTTTATCTCCTCGTTGTAGTCACAATTCAGTAACTAACATTATTCATTGTCACGTACCCCCAACAAATATGAAAAAATGAAACAGCTGCCATAGTGTACCGAAGAAGTTACATAGTTACTGTATTTGAAAAAAAACACAAGCAAAAGTACAGTAATGTAGTTCATGATACACATTACGGTAAAAACTCTTTAAATTAATAGTCTTTGGCCTCTCAAAATTTATTAATTAATCGAGTTATTAATTTTTTGATAAATTAATAATTATTAATTTAAATTATTTTTCAAACCTAATAGGGGATAATCTTTACCAATTAAGAAAAAAAAGAGTAGATTATAATATGGACTTCTAAAATCATTAATACGGCACTAGGGTTCTATTTCTGTGGCTGCAAATTTTGAATATCCAAAAAAGAAGCACTAAATACAATAGCAAATCGTCATAATTTTTTGTTCCCATATGGCAAAGCGACATCGAAACTTTTGAATGCAACGGAAAAGGTCAAAGATGATATTTTTTTAGATATAAATTTTAATAAAAAACAAAAATCAATAGAATCATATTTTACTTGAAATTTATTAGTTTTTGTTTAGGTAATTATTAATTTAATAAAATGTGGGGACCTATATCTACATAAGGTATTCTTGAACATTTATTATCTTATATATTAATCGAATTTTTTCATTTTTTGTACTGGTCCCGAGTTGAAACTGGTAAAAATTATTATTTAATAGAGATTATAAATTTATAGAAATTTAATTTCGAGAGGTTTTGTTGTAATACGCAAATGATGACATCATTAATTGGTTCCACTGTTACCGCATTCGAAGAACAACGAAAATACAGACTAGAAATTTACATGTGGACACACGTTAACAAATGAAATTTATGATTATACAAAGACATTATCGAAAACTACTTATTGTCCTATCACAATATGTCATCAATATTGTTTACTATGTAGCGTAGAAAAGAGACAAAAACACAACGAGAAAAAAAAGAAACGAAGAAGAAAGAAATGGCGGAGCATTATTACTCACCACGTCAACATGAGGTATATTAAATAGATTCTTCACGTTCGAAAAGAAAACACAAGGTGCTAGGAGATCAAAAGGCCTTGCATGCAGGTCTTTTTTTATTTCCTTTTTTTTTTTGTTTAATAATTGCCTCAACTAGAGAAGGAGTAGTTACCATTAATTTGATCTTTGTACCGTTGGAAAGCTTTCAGAATCTGTTCAACAAGAGGTTGAATTTGGAATTTTATGTAGTAAATTACTAGGTGTTATACCCATGCGATGTACGAGATAGGAATATTTCTTTTTTATTCACTTGATGGAAAAGTGAAATGTATAATGTATGTATTTAAAAAAGTCTCATGTATGAAATTTTATCCACAAATAAGCATGTTAAAAAAAAAGAGATATAATAAAAAAATATTTTAATTGAACTCGTACTTTTGAAATGATATGTGAATTCGTAATAAAAGTCATTTTACAGGCATACAAAAAGGAAGAGACATATATGTCCGGGATTTTTTTACATTTATAAAATTTGTGGGAATAGGTGGAGGAATTTACCTCTAAGATTATATATATTTAAATTTTGTCAAAATTCTGATTGTAAGTTTAATAAAAATGAACGGATTTTGGATTATTATTGGAATGTCAATAAAAATGAACGGATTTTGGATTATTATTGGAATGTCAATATGGCGAACCAATCCCTCCAGAATTAACCCGTATGAAATTGAGGGTTTTACAATTGGATGCAGTAGCATATCAAAAGCCTCGTCCATTTTTCAACATTATAGTTGTGAGATGTGGGGATTCTTGGATTAACAGATCAGCTTCTATATAGATAATTG